CCCTTCAGGGCAAACCAACTGGCCCCACCCATGCACCAGGCCTCTATCTTATCTAATAAAAGAGTAATATGCAGACTGACCATCACTCCAACACACAAGATGGCTTCCCCCATGTGGTCCAAGATCCTGCCCCCATGTGCACATAAGATGGCCACCAAAAGATGGCCAGTAGGGGAGGGCAGTTGGGAGGGACCAGGCCTGCAAGGGAGGGCAGTTGGGGACCATCAAGCCTGCAGGGGACGGCAGTTAGGGGTGACCAGGTCTGCATGGGAGGGCAGTTAGGGGTGACCAGGCCTGAATGGGAAGGCAGTTAGGGGCAAACAGGCTGGCAGTGGAGCAGTTAGGCATCAATCAGGCTGGCGGCAGAGTGGTTAAGGGGTGATCAGGCTGGCAGGCAGAAGTGGTTAGGGGCAATCAGGAAGGAAGGTGAGCAGTTGGAAGCCAGCAGTCCTAGATTGTGAGAGAGATATCTGACTGCCTGTTTAGATCGGGCCTAAATGGGCAGTTGGACATCCCCAGAGGAGTCACAGATTGGAGAGGGTGCAGGCTGGACTGAGGGACACCCCCCTCTCCGTGCACGAATTTCATGCACCGGACCTTTAGTAACTAAGATTTGGCAACAGCCTAAATGCCCATCAGCAGATGAGTGGATTAAAAAACTGTGGTACATCTACACAATGGAGTACTACACTGCGCTAAAAAAGAAGGAATTCCTCCCATTTGCAACAACATGGATGGAACTGGAAAGCATTATGCTTAGTGAAATAAGCCAGTCAGATAAAGTTAAACATCACATGATCTCACTCATTTATGGAATATAATGAACAACATAAATTTATGATCAAAAACAGTTCCTGAGACAGAGAAACATCTATCAGACCATCAAACCTCAGAAGGAAGGTAGTGGAGAGTGGGGGTAAGGGGGAGAGATCAACCAAAGAACTTGTATGTGTGCATATAAGCCTAACCAATGAACACAGACAACAGAGGGGTAAGGGCATGAGTGGGAGGAATGGGGGGATAATGAGGGAATAAGGACACATAAGTAACACCTTAATCAATAAAAGATTTTTTAAAAAACTGCAATAAAAAAATATCGTGCTTTCCTGTAATATACAACATAGGGAAAATAGTAATCCTATATAATAAAAACCTAATATGCTAAAAAAAAAATTCATCTGGAATAAAATAAGACCCCACATAACCACAGCAATCCTGAGAAAGAAGAACAAAGTAGGTGGGATCTCAATACCAGATTTCAAGCTGTATTACAAAGCTACTGTTCTCAAAATAGCCTGGTTCTGGCACAAGAACAGACATATAGACCAATGGAATAAGACAGAGAATCCAGATATCGACCCAAACCACTATGTTCAATTAATATTTGACAAAGGAGGCATGAACATAGAATATAGTCAAGACAGTCTCTCCAACAAATGGTATAGATACTTTCTGAAAGAAGACTGAAGGAAGGCCAAGAAAACTATGAAAACATGCTCAAAGTCACTAATCATCTGAGAAATGCAAATCAAAATGACAATGAGATACCATCTCACACCTGTCAGAATGGCTATCATCAACAAATCAACAAATGACAAATGCTGGCCAGGATGCAGAGAAAAAAGAACCCTAGTTCACTGCTGGTGGGAATGCAGACTGGTGCAGCCACTGTGGAGAACAGTATGGAGGTTTTTCAAAAAACTGAAAATGGAACTCCTATTTGACCCAGTGATCCCACTTCTAGAAATATATCCCAAGAAACTAGAAACACTAATTAGAAAGGATATATGCACCACTCCATTTGCAACAGCATGGATAGAACTGGAGAGCATTATGCTTAGTGAAATAAGTCAGAGAAAGATAAATATCATATTATCTCACTCATTTTTAGAATATAATGAAATAAACTGATGAATGAAAATAGATCCAGAGATAGAGAAACTTCGATCAGACAATCAAACCTCAGAGGTAAGATAGGAGAGGGTGGGGGTAAAAGGGAGAGATCAACCAAAGGACTTGTATGCATGCATATAAGCCTAACCAGTGGACATAGACAAAAGTGGGATGAGGGCATGAGTGGGGTGATTGGTCATGAGGGAATAAGGACACATATGTAATACCTTAATCAATAAAACAATTAATAAAGTAAAATAAAAGGGAAAGAGATTCACATTTTATATCATTCTCTACATATTTAAACTTTTTTATAACCAAAGAAAACATATTACTTTTATAAGTTAAAGAGCTTGTTTAAAAATTATGTGGTTCTGGCTCTGGAGTAACTTTCCCCTTCCCTTAATTTCTCTTTTTTTTTTTTTTCTTAAATAAATTTTTATTGTTCATATTATTATGAATGTTCCTTTGTTTCCCCCCCTTCATTGCTCTCCTCCACCAGGTTCCCACCCCACCCTCTGCCCTTTCCCCACCCCCCATTGTCCTCATCCATAGGTGCACAGTTTATGTTCAGTCTCTTCCCACATATCCCCCTCTCCCTTTTCCCCCAACAATCGTCAGTTCCCCCTTCCATACCTCTGATTCTATTATATTCAACAGTTAATATTTTTCATCATATTTTTTTTAATTTCCTTGGTTTTTAGATTCACTTGTTGATAGTTACATATTTGTTGTTCATAATTTTTATCTTTATTTACTTTCTCTTCTGAAAGAACCCCCTTCAGCAATTCATATAATTCTGGTTTGGTGGTGATGAACTCCTTTGGTATTTTTTTTTATTAGTGAAGCTCTTTATCTGACCTTCGATTCTGAGTGATAGCTTTGCTGGATAGATTATCTTTGGCTGTAGGTTCTTACTATTCGTCACCTTGAATATTTCTTGCCATTCCCGTCTGGCCTGCATGGTTTCTGTTGAGAAATCAGCTGACAATCGTAAAGGTGCTCCTTTATAGGTAACTACCTTCTTTGCTCTTGCTGCTTTTAATATTCTCTCTTTGTCTTTTGCTCTTGGAATTTTAATTATGATGTGTCTTGGTGTGTTCCTCTTTGGATTCCTTTTGTTTGGAGTTCTGTGCGCTTCCTGAACTTGTAAGTCTAATTCTTTCACCAGGTGGGGAAGTTTTCTGTCACTATTTCTTTCAGTATGTTTTCAATATCTTGCTCTCTCTCATCTTCTGGGACCCCCATAATTCTGATGTTGGTTCGCTTGAAGGTCTCCCAGAGGTTTCTTACATTATCTTCAATTTTCTGGATTCTCTTGTCTTCTTGCTTCTGCAGAGGAGTGTCTTCTGGCTCTTTATGTTCCAAATCTTTGACTTGATTCTTGCGATCTTCCATTCTGTTTTTAGGACTCTGTATAATATTTTTTATTTCAGACAATGTATTCTTTATTTCTTGTTGATCCCTTATCATTTCTTATTGATCCCTTATCAATTCTTATTGATTCCTTATTAATTCTAGTTGATCTCTTTTCATATCTTCATAGGTCTTATTGATCTTTTCTAGGAAATTCTTGAAAAACCTTATAAGCGTAGATTTGAACTCTATATCCAGGCACTTTTTGTCCTCCATTTCTTTCGTTTGTGATCGATTTTGTTGTCACATTTCGCAGCTACAGATGGGGTGAAGTTTCAGGGTGGAGCCTACAGCCTTGGCTTCCGTCAGCCCGGCCCTATGCTGCTCCTGGGTCTCAGGGTCCTTCAGTACTCGTTGCAAGGGCCTCTGAGAGAAAGGTGCCCTCAATTTTCGCCTGCTACCAAACAGTCTAGGCTCTCCCCCAATGAGCCCAGTATTGGGGTTCATTTCAGTTGGAAGTGGAGTTGGAGGTGGCGTTTAGAGCAGTCTGGAGCCCCTTTCTCCTTCCCACCAGGGCAATTCCGCGGCACAGCCAACCGTCCCTTCTCTGCGCACAATGTGTGTGCTGCCGGGACCTCCTTTCGCTGCTCCCCCCCGCCCAGGGTTCCAGCTCCCTCTGGATGAGCCTGGGTCCCTGGGGTCTGGCCTAGAACTGGGGTTCAGAGCAGTCGGAACTGGGGCCCAACACAGTTGGAGCTTTTATCTCCTTCCTGCTAGGGAACGCCAGCCAGGCACTCAGCCGCCCTCCTCTCTGGTTCCGTCCTCTTCGCGCATGCCATGTGTCTCCGTACCTTTGGCTTTTACAGCTCCTCCATGCTTCCTTCTGGTTTTCTCCTTGCTTCTCGTTGTAGAATTTCCAGTCAGTCGACTTTCCTGTAGTTCTGGGTATTGTCCATTTTATATTTTAGTTGTATTTTATTGAAATAGTTGTGTGCAGCTACAGCTAAGTGTTTATCTGGTCAGCCATCTTGGATTCCCTCCAGCAAGGTCCCCTTAATTTCTCTTAAACTCATTCCCATGTATGGATTAAATGATCCTACATCTGAAAATTATTCCCAGATCTTTAATTCTAACCAATATATGCCCTCTCCCTTCTGAACTTGAGCTTGGAATTGCATTTTTTTTTAAAAACACCTTTTAATATTTTTATTGATTTCAAGAGGGAGAGGGAGAGAAACATCAATGATGAGAGAGAATCTTTGTCTGCCTCCTGCACATCCTTCCCATTGGGGATCAAGTCCACAACCTGGACATGTGCCCTTGACCAGAATCAAACCTGAGACACTTCAGTCCGCAGGCTGACGCTCTCTCCGCTGAGCCAAATTGGCTAGGAATAAATTGCCTTCTATTTGGTGAATATTTTCCTCTGTAATATTGGCACCTTAAGTTCATAACTGAAAGTCTCTTTCTTTTGAACTGCTCCTCTGTGTCTGTCTATATTGATCTAACCTCATGTGGTGCTTGGATTCATTCATCGTTTCCACTCCTCATCCTTGTCCACCTCACAGGAACTGGGCTTAGAGCCCAATTCTGCCTGATGCCACAGTCTTCCTTTTGTTCCAAAAGCCCTGACTTGATATCCATTAACTACAAGCTAGGGCATGTTCAGATCCCTGAGTAGCTTGGAGAGGCTCTCTTGTCCCCATCTCTGTCCCTGAGCTTCACTGCAAGACTAAAATTTCCCTCCTTACCTCTTCTGAGGAGAGGGCACTGCTTGCAAATCACAATGACCTTGGCACTCATGTTCTTGCCAGCCTGTTGAATTGCCAGATTTCCCTCTTTATAGATGCTGATGAGGGAGACTGTAGCATGCAATCTTTCACCCCGCATGATGGTTGAGATAACAGTACCAGCAAATACTGTGGAAGAAAAGATTTTTTGAAGGCAAATGTAAGCAGAATTGAACATAGTTTTACATTTTTCTAAGTATCAGATCAGAAGCATTTTAATGTTAAAGAGAAGGCCCTAGCAGCACAATAAAATTTGATTCTGTACACTTGTCACCAAAATTCAGGTTGAAGAAAGGAGTCCTGGTGGTATCATGTGGACCATGTTGCTAGATATTGAGACCCCAGAGAGAAACCTGAATAGCTGTGCATTGTGGTCCATTACTGAGAAGAGACTCTTCACAATGTCTTATTCAACATGTAGATCAATTACTAAGTATGAGCCTCTACCTGTACATACTCCACAAGACCTTGAGTCTTCTAAGGCAACACCAAACTTGAAGGTTGCATGATGGTGTTTGGGCCACAAGGAAGAGAGTCTTTGTGTCTGTATGGGTGTGTGTGCCTACCTTTATGTGTCTCCCTTCTTTAGCCCTTCTCTTTAAAATATTTTTTAAAATATATTTTATTGATTTTTCACAGAGAGGAAGAGAGAGGGATAGAGAATTAGAAACATCGATGAGAGAGAATCATCGATCAGCTGCCTCTTGCACACCCCCTACTGGGGATGCACCCGCAACCAAGGTACATGCCTTGACCGGAATCGAACCCGGGACCTTTCAGTCCCCAGGCCGACGCTCTATCCACTGAGCCAAACCGGTCCTGGCTAGCCCCTCTCTTTAGTTTTCCTCTGTCTTGGAACTTTGGTTCATCCCATGGGTCCCTAGCTCTCTCTAATTATCAATAAATATCTGCCTTTTACTAGGTCTTTGATGTTCTCTTTATTAAAAACTAGGGGCCTGGTGCACAAAATTTGTGCACTGGGGAGGGGGGGAGGGAGATCCCCTCAGCCCAGCCTGCCCCCTCTCACATACTGGGAGCCCTCAGCAGTCTGGCCTCCCTTTGAGAAAGATGACTGGGCTGATCAGAGAAAGGCACCAGCCCCATCACCCTGCTGCTGCAGCCACTGCCAGTCACTGCAGCCATCAAAGTGTTTTCATCAACACAGACTTTACCGTGAAAAAATGACACTGTTCTTTAGGCATTTTCAAGATGTATCTTTCATAAGAGATGACCTACCTTCCTTCCTTCCTTCCTTCCTTCCTTCCTTCCTTCCTTCCTTCCTTCCTTCCTTCCTTCCTTTTATCCTCACCTTAGGATATGTTTCCATTGATTTTTAAAGAATATGGAAGAGAAAGGGAAAGATAGAAATATTAAAGTGATAGGAACACTTTGATTGGTTGCCTCCTGCATGAGCCCTGACCTAGGCCCCAGCCAGGGAGGAGCCTACAACTTAGGTACATGTCCTTGATCAGAATTTAACCTGGACCCTGCCGTTGGCAAACCTAGGCATTATCCACTGAGCTAAACTGCCTAGGGCAGGCAGGTTATAACATTTCTTAGCCCTCCAGCAGCAGACCATGTTTTTTTGTGTTTTTTTTTCTCCAGGAATGGAGAAAAGCCCTAGATTACTTTTTTGGATTCTTATATCCAAGTTACTAAGAATATTACCAGTGGCATACAGGGAGCTTAGCCAACGAATGGTCAGAAAAGGTGTTTCCTCTGTAGTTCAAACCTATCTCCTCTGATCTCCGGCTCCACCCCTGCCAAGGCCTAAAGCCTCAGGGAGTGGGCAGGCGCCACCCCAGTTCCCTCCAATCGCTGGCTCCACCTCTGCCAAGGCATAAACCCTCAAGCAGGCTGCAATTGCCCAGATCCCCCCAACACACACACCCCTGGCCAAGGCCACAGGCCTCTGACCTATGCTCGGGCCTTGGCCAAGGACCCCTAGAACACTTTGATCATCTGCAGAGGAACTCAGCTGGCTCTGATGGACATATTCCCGGCCAAAGCCACCAAGGACTCGTGGAAAGCCTGGCTTCTTCCATTCCTGGGGAAACCCAAGCCTCCCTCCTGCTTTCCATGGCAGTAGCCATCATGGTTAGGTTTATTTGCATATTAGCTCCTGATTGGCTGGTGGGTGTAGCAGAGGTACAGTCAATTTGCATATTACTCTTTTATTAGATAGGATATTTTTATTTATTTCAGAGAGGAAGGGAGAGGGAGAGAGAGATAGAAACATCAATGATGAGAGAGAATCATTGATTCACTGTCTCCTGCATGCCCCATACTGGGGAGCAAGCCTGAAACCTAGGCATGTGCCCTGACTCGGAATTGAACCATGACTTCCTGGTTCATAGGTTGATGCTCAATCACTGAGCCACGAAGGTCGAGCTGATATTCTCTTTCTTATCCACCCTGTTTATTTAATTTAACAAATCAAGGAATAGAACTGAATTATAACAAAGCATTTTCTTGTTTAAAATTTTTTCTAGCAAAATTCAGTTGCTTTTCATTATGTAACTCTCTTTTTTCCATTTTGACTTTTGGAGAAAAGAGTCTAATTTTTGAGCCACAGAAGAAAAGAATATGTGTTTCTCAAAGGTGTGCTTTTGGCATTTTGGTGAGGGCAATGCCATGTGGAACAGGAACTGCATTGAAGGACTATTTTATGAGCCTGTCCCTGCCCAGAAAAAAACAGTAACACTCCCCAGTTATTGTGACAATCCAAACTGCCCCTGGAGGTCAGGCTGAAAACCAATGGGCTTCAGGTGACTGTTTGTGGTTGTTTTCCCATGTGTAAGCAAGTCACAGTGGAGTTAATCAAGTTTTGGACTTGGCTGATAGGAGCCTTTTGGGGTGAAGTGAGAGCTCACTGCTCACATGGTGTGTAAAGCTCAAAAAAGTCAGAATTCTCCTCTGAGTATTCACTGCAAAATGTCAGCTTGTCACCAAGTGGAATAGGTGGCAACAAAAGATAGAGAAGAAGATTTCCTGAAGCATCTCCTGCGGAGACAGGCTGGCTGTGGTGGCAGTGACACCTGTGCAGTTTGGTTCATTTTTATGCTTGGAAAATGAAAGTGGGGAAGGGCCCAGGTCTGCAAGGCATTCAGAGCCCCTCTAGGAGGCCCTGGGTCTGGGATAAGCTTTTAGTTTACACAGCTTTTTTTTCCTGACAAGACCTTCTTAAATCTTTATTGTGGAAATAAGCAACAAAATTAAATATGATATCTTTTGCTCTTGAGTGGTTTTCACAAAAAAAAAAATGCAACTATATTTTAGTTTAAAAAGCTCTTATAAATTCTAAATCATTAGTAATGTCTCCTCAGGTTCCAATTTATAAGTGTTTCCAAATAGATTTCCAGGTTTAAATTTAATACTTTAGAAAAACAGACATTGCAGAGGAAATGCTTGAATTTCCTGTGAGAGAGGTCAGCTTAGATATGCTTTTAATTTATTGAAGTTAAATTATCTACCTAAAAAAAAATATGCTAATTGACTGTACCTTCTCAATGCCCACCATTCAATCAGGAGTAGATATGCAAATTAACCCAACAAATATGGCGGGTTAATTTGCATATATAGGTGTGAGTGGCAGGGGGTAGGGCAGGACCCTTGTGTCATTGCCATGGCAATGACACAGGCCTTCCATACTCCAGGTGGGAGGGAAAGAGAGCTCTGGCCAGAGCAAAGGCAGTGCCAGCAGCCAGGGGAAGGAAGGCCCATTTTTTAACGAGTCTTCCTGCATTGGGCCTCTAGTCAATGTATAAATAGATAACCAATATATGAAAAATATGTGAGAAAAAAGTATACAGGTTTGCTGTGTGGCTTTTTTTCCCCCCCAGAAATACTGAGCCAACCAAAATATATAGGAGTATCACGTACTAGGAGTCAAATTAAGTTTATATGGAAAAGTAAATTTTCTATATACATATTTTTCTCAGTGATGAACTCTAATACTTTGAAGAGGACAAGTCCACAAAGTTGCTTGATTTTATTTCTTACCAAAATTGCTTGAACAGTAATTGCTTTCCAGAGTACCGGCCCATCTACATTTTTGTTGACACATGGCTATGGTGGGTTTTAAACCTTAATTTAGAAAGAAAAGGCATAAGATACAGGAAAATGAATTCAAATATAATTGGTATTTAGATACAAATCCATCACTTTAACATTCATATTTATTTAAATGAGCCACCAATATGTCATTGCAATGAAATAATTAAAGAACATGCAAAAGAAATTATCTATACTACCAACTAAAATTGCTCCTTTGTTGAATTTTAAACCTGAGATAAAAGAAAACCCATAATTAGCCTTATTCTCTTATTTTCCATAAAACTAATACTATAACCAAAAATAGAGTTTTCATTTGCCCTGCTTAGAAAAATCTATTACAACAAATATATAGTGTATATATTGTCTCCCTAAAGATGGAGAGAGCTTTCTTGGTACATTTAAAACATGCAATTACTTAAATGTGAGCAGTACAGGGTTTTTAGAAATACTGCTCATGTGTAAAGTACATTATATCTATAATTAGATGCAACCAATTACTAAACATTTATGTTGAACCTTCCACGGCCTATCTGGAAATAGTTTTGTTGTCACACCTAGGGCATGCTTTTTGCATCTAGTGGATAGGAATGCTGCTAGATAACTTACAATGGATAGTGCCCAATAGGAAAGAATTATGTGGCCCAAAATGTGACTAGTCCCAAGGTTGAGAAACCATGAGTTAACAAAATAAAATATTTAATCCCAATTACCATCATTTAAAATGTTTCAAAAAAAATTGCTATTCACTTATATGTGGCAATATTCTAGGAAAAATCAAGCAAATCAACTGTAACAAAATTGTATTCGTTAGGTAAGAATTTGCAATTGAAGTACTGCCCTTCTAATAGGTTCTGCGGACTCTTCTGTGAATTTATTATTTATTTAATCTTAATTTGTATCCCTACTAAACTCCAAAAAGGATATGAAGTGGATTACAACATAAAATGTATAAAATAAAATGTTAAATAATATAATACCTTAATACATACATACATTTCTTTTTAAGACAAAGAGCTCAGTAAACACTTGAGAGAATGTTGTTCCAGAAGTTAGAGATTTACCTAATGAATTAAACCAAAAAGTACTGCCATTATGTTCTCCCTGATGGATGAAAGGGCACCCTTCTATGTAGATGACTGGAAGCCAGCTCCTTTTCAGCCTCCAATGTCAAAATGGAAGTTGGGTTGGTGTCCCACACTGTTCCATCCCTGCCTTCCGTAGATCCTTGCTCTCTTGCTCTTAGTCATCAGCTACACAACCTTAACCCTCTTCACCCTACTACTGTCATCTCCCCACTGCCCTGCTCTTCCAGCACACACCTGATTCTCAGCCTTCCTCTCTGTGTACTCCTGCACCTATCTTGGTGGGGTACCCTCAGTGTGGTGCTCCCTCTCCATGCCATGGCCTCATTCTTCCCAGAGACTTTCTCTCTGCTCCATTTCAGTAACTCAGTCCCAGGCTCACATGTACTCCTGTTGAAGTCTTTAGTCACCAATCTCTCAAATTTAGATATCTTTATATCCAGTATAACTGCCTCTATTTCAAGCTTAGTTATTGATTTACTCTCATGACTTTTTTTTTTTTCTTATCTTTAGTGGTCCACACCTCTCATTTGTTCCCAATTCATCTTTACTTCCTTGGCTGTCCCACTTAGTTTCCATTATTTCTGTCATTTTCCTGACAATATACCTTAAATGTCCTTCCCCCCTTGTCCCTCAACCCTGTTTGAACCTGTGCCTGCACTCAGCTGAGTCCACAAATGGACCTTCATCGAAGTGACAAGATGTTTGGTGGATCAACTCACTCCCCAATTTCCGCAGCTCTTTTTCAAATTCTCTCATTCTCCTAACCACCCCCCTTCTCATTATTAACAGGTGATCCTGCCTGTTTCAGAGAGAGAACAGAGATCATAGAAGAAAATGTCTGCAAGATTCCCATCAAACCTTCAAAGCTGTCTTGTCTGCAATTGCTCTCTTCTCTCCCTCCCCTGAGGGAAGAGGCTGCTCCGCCTCTGGCCAAAGGTCTGTCCTGTGAGTTCTCTGGAGCAGTGGTTAACAACCTTTCAGACCTCATGGACCACCAGTGGTCCACAGACCACCAGTTGGTGACCTCTGCTCTGGAGATCATGCCCCTCACCTTAATAGATGTTCCCTCTTCAGGTCATCCTTTTGTCTGCCAATATGTTCTCCATTGCTGGCTGCTTCCCATTGCTTTAACTTCTTCTAGATACTCATAGCCTCTCTCTCTTCTTTATGACCAAACTTGTGGAATGAGTTTCTGGAATTTACTATGAATTTTTTCTCCTTGTTCCAAACACTCAGCCCACTTACATAACTCTTGCTAGGATCTCCAAGTCATGAAAAAAAATGGAAACATTTTATTCCTTCCCTTTTTGGAAGTTTCATCAACACTTGGCTCTACTAACCATTCCCTTCTTACAACATCCTCTTCCCAGGGTTCCCTGGCACATGCTCCTGGCTTCCTAACCTCCTCCTTAGTTCTCGCCTTTCAGTCTCCATTACTAGCATATTCTCCCTTTAAAGTGTTGGAGTTTCGAGAGAGTTAATTCAGCCCTTCTTTCAGCTCTCTTCCTAGGCAATTTCATTCTGGGTCCTGGGGTATCAACCATGTACTGGTGATGATTCTTAGATTTAGATATCTTGCTTAAATCTATCTTTTGGTCTGAAGGCTCATAGATATAACTGTCCACATGACATTTCAAATCCAACAAGGTCACAGCTTATCTTATCAGACTATCCCTCTACCCAGTTCTCAACTTCAGTGAATGGTTACATTATCCCCAAGATTTTGCAAGCCAGGGATCTGGAAGGCATTCTTGACACATACCTGATCTCCCTAGTCCAATTAATCACCAAGCCCTGTCAATATCTCCCAAGGTCCCTGAGTTGCACAGTTGTCCGTAGCTCTTGACTATCTCTGTATTTTATTTATTTATTTATTTAAATTGATTTTACAGAGAAAAAGAGAGAAGCATTGATTTGTTGTTCCACTTATTTATACATCCATTGGTTGATTCTTATATGTGCCCTGACTGGGGATCATATCTGAAACCTTAGTATAATGGGATAATGCTCTAACCAACTGAGCTACCTGTCAGGGCTCTCTGTATTTACATCATAGCACAGAAATTCACCTGGAAAACCACAGAACCTATGAATCCTCTTGACCCCTAAAACACATTCACGTCACAGTGACAAGAGTGATCTTCACAGTGCAAATCTAATCCTGAACTTTCTTTAAATCCATCAACAGTTTCCCAGACACAGGATAAATTCCAAAATACTTAGAGCATAAGGAAAGAGGTGGTAGGGACCAAGGATAAATCTAAAAGAAAGAATAGGGATGAAGTGTGAAGGGCCTTATATACCACATGAAAGAGTTGGGCTCCCATGCTGTCCAATTTGGTAGCCACTAAGCATATGAGGCTTTTTAAATTTCATTAAATTAAAAAATTCAGTTCCTCAGTGCACCAGCCACATTTTCAGTGCTTAGTAGTGGCTAATGTACTGGGTGGCAAGATGTAGAGAATGACTTTAAGAGGAAGATAGGCCTGGATGGCTGTGTGTGTGTGTGTGTGTGTGTGTGTGTGTGTGTGTGTGTGTGTGTGTGGTGGCAGGGCAAGCAGCGGGGAGGTCAGACGGAGGTCAAATATGACTCTCAGAGGGTGGCTCTGATGTTTTAGGCTATGTTGGGAAGCAGGTGGAGGAGCAGGTTTATTGCAGGAAGTAGTGTAATAAAAACAAGTTGTGTTTGATAGGTTTTAATATAAATGTCTAGTAGTTGAAAAACTCTTGGAGATAATTACAAATCCATGTTTGTAATTTAAGAGCAAGTTTAAGACTGGAGATAAAACCTAAGGAACCACTAAGCACTATGGGTATTGGAAAGAATAAGGACAGCAGGATCCACTGAGATGAGCTGGAGTAATACTACAGTAACATGAGGCAGTAACCTTCCAGGACACAAGGTGGCAAACTTGGGGAATGCTCAGAAAAACCAACTCTTTTAGAAGGGCCTGTCCTCGGGACAACCTTACTTGGGGAGTATACAGAAAATAGTGGACAATAAAGTTGGTCTTATTTCAAACTGCTTCATTTCTTAACCTTAGGTCCTTCCTTCTCACTTTTTTTTTTGCTCTCAGGATTTAGATTTTGATATCTGGGGCCCGAAATCCCAATGAGTGGAGTTAATAGGATGTAGAGACTAGATACAGGGAACCCCTCCTGTCTCTCCAGTTCTTAGATCATGTCCCAGACCAGAGTTTCCCAACTGACTTCTAGAATATGTCAAATATATTTTTTTATTTACTCTGACAAAAGATGTAATATATTTTGTATGACACACTTTGGAGTGAAGCAAAAACAATAAAAAAGTGCAAATACTGGCAGATGTGAAAACAGGCATAGTATTTTAACCTAAAATACTGTAATTCTATGTAATATAATAAAAAGAAAAACATAATTTTATAAATGCCAGAAAAGAAAAAGTAGTCTAATAATGATCTGTTTTGTGGGTTCCTAGTAATTTTTAACTGGTCATAATTTTTTAAGATGACATTTACAAATTATTAGCTTAGCCTTGGCTGGTATGGCTCAGTTGTTTAGAGCACTGTCTCCATACATCAGGAGGTGGCAGGTTTGATTCCCAGTCAGGTTTTGGTATGCAGATGGGAGGTAACCAAACAATATTTCTTTCTCACATCAATGTAAAGTCTCCCTTTCTCCTAAAAATCCACTTAATAAGTATTATATTAGGATTCTTTTCTTTAAAAAATATTTTTATTGATTTCAGGAAGGGAGAGAGATGGAAACATCAATGATGAGAGAGAATCATTGATTGGGCTGCCTCCTGCATGCCCCCTTCTGAGCATATGCCCTTGACTGGAATTGAACCCAGGCCAATGTTCTATCTATTAAGCCAAACCAGCTTTGGCTTAGCTTATTATTCTTATATCTTATACTTTTCTTTCATTAATGGAGTCATATTAGTCTATCTATGTATTGTTTTCATCTTAACTTATTTTAGTTTTAAATAACTTCCTTTTTTTATTTTCTTTCTACTTTCAAAAGACTTTTTAACACTCCTTAAATTTATGTGCAAATATCAAAACAGAAAAACTCACCTGTAGTTACAGTGACTGTGGTGGTCAATGGCAGTGCTGTAGTTGTAGATAATTTTTTTGGCCTGAATTTGTAGTGACCAATAAATCCATCTGCAGTTAAGCTTAAGTCTGAGAAAAACTGAATGAGAAGTTCATGTTTTTCTGATACAATTGGCCTAAAAGAACAAAAACATATTCAAATGGATATATTTTAAGGTTTAGGTAGTACCTCTCTGAATGTAGGATTTTCTAGGTTTCCTTTAATTTCTGACAAATTACTACTTGTTTAAATCTAAAAGCTAACATGCATTAAAAAGGTGAAAGCCTCAATCTGCTTAATGTTAATGCTAATAGCTAATATTCACTGAGTGTTTGCCGAGTTAGGCACTGTGTTTTGTGTAAACCCTCTGCACCACAATCCTATTACTATCCCCTTCTTAGGGAATAGGCAACTGATGTTTAGAGTTCAGTGATTTGCCCAAAGCCCTATAGCTAGTATATAGGAGAGCTGGGACTTGATGCCATAGACTGCAGTGGACATATAGACTAGTGTAAACACTGAAGCTGAGCTGGTTCATCATAAGCATCTCAGAATTTATATGGATGTGGGAACTACACAGTTTCTCTGAGTGAAGACTCTGGGACTAGCTGGCCTGAGAATCAGAAATTTAATGAACAAATTTCCAGGTGCTGTGAAGACACTACCTAAAGGCTGACCTAGATACAAGAAAGCCATTAGGATTTAATTAAAATTCCATTTCATTGTGTGTATGTGTGTGTGTGTGTGTGGGGGGGGTGCTTTTCATTTGGTACTGCAGTGTTCCATTTTTAAATTATTTTATTCCCATTCTTTATTGATATTTAAGGGATGAGGGGAGGAGAAATACTGATTTGTTGTTCCACTTATTTATGCATTCATTGGTTGTTTCTTATTATGTGCCCTGTTCAGGGATCAAACCCAAAACCTGGGTGTATTTGGAGGCTGCTCTAACCACCTGACTACAGGCCAGGGCCCATTTCTTTGTTGTTGTTTTTGTTAATCCTCACCCAAGGAAATTTTTCCATTGATTCCCCTCTCCCCACTTTGGAAGAGAGAAGAGAAAGGTAAATACAGAGATAAATATCAATGTGAGAGAAACGCTTCGATTGGTTGCCTCCTGCACAAGCCCTGGGCAGGGCTTGTGCAGAGGAGAAGCCTGCAATCAAGGTACATTCCCTTGACTGGAATCAAACCTGGAACCTTTTGGTCCACAGGCTGATGCTCTATCCACTGAGCAAAACCGGCTAGGATCCCATTTCATTTTTAATGTGTCTTATGCATGCCTGCAGTGGACCAGACTATGAGCATTTCTTTTCATATTCTTTGTAGCAAAATGCTCTGAAGGAGAAAGCAAGTGATTATTCTGTTTTGGTGCTCCTAATGACATCATTAAAAACTCCAGTGTTAGGGATCTAAAATTTAATGGTGATAATAACTGAGGCTTAAAAGCTCTCTTAAATCTCAGGGGATTTCATTTAAGCTTTTGCTATCATTATTTAAACAATGGTAAAAATGCTGTTTGGCTAATTCTACTTAAAAACTAATTAAGTGGAAACATTAAATGTCATTTGAGTTAATTGAGGGTTTGACTAAAGTCCTTTTTTGAGGCATCTTCTCAGCAGAATCACTTCTTAGGCATAAGGACAGCCTATGCTGAGACAGCCATCTATCCCTCTCACACACACCCCCCCCCAGCTAATTTCAGCAGGAGGTCTGTACTTGAGCCAACCTGTTAGAAAAACTGCAAGATCTCTTTTGCCCTGAAGGTTATTACTTTCTGAGCCAAGGGACTCAACAAACCTAAAAACAAACACATGACATGCTTTTAGTCTGGTTCACAAAAGTGACCTAGGAGATCAAATAATGCTTCTAAGAATCAAGCCTTTCACAGAAATATTCTGTCTTGGTTTTGAAAACATATCCTTTAAAGAAATACAAACAGTGTGCTTGAAACACAATTTTCAATACAGTTATAAATAAAATATTACTGATGTTTAAATGATAAAATAACAAAAAGCAATTATAAACACCAAAAGAAACCTTAAGCCCAACCCAGCCAGCCTTCTAGGCAGGATATTATAATTATAGTGAGCATTCACTGCCTTTTCCATAAACTAATCTTGGGAGCTATATTGGAAACCAAATTTTCTTGAGGAAAAGTATTTTAGTGGCAGTCACATTTTTGTTATGCTGCTACTTAGCTTTGAATGATGTGACAGAATCAAAATGCCATAAATTTACTGAGGGGCATGTGTTTCATTTGCAAATTAATGTTACAAATCACTAAGAAGGAAAGAAAAAAATCTCACTTGGATCCACTCTGCCCTGGCAAAGCCCAGGAGTAGATTGAGGAGGCTGCTTCATTTCTTACAGCTGACTACTTTGGTTCTTGCATTCCACAGTCTTCCCCTTCTTCAATCATAGTCAATCAACACAATGTCCTGCAAATTTTGCCTCCTAAATATTTCTTGACCCACCACATGCTCTTCTCTCCTAGCCCTCACTATTTCCTGGTCTTTATCTGGAACACTGCACAGCCTCCTGGCCAGCCTCCCTGCTCAGCAGTCTAGGATGAGGTTCTAGGGAAACAGTCCTGTCACTGTGTACCAATCTGCACTTCCAGGGCCACAATGTCTGCAGTATATGAAATCAAATTGAAACCACCTGCCTCATCTCTCTTTAGGCCCCAACTCAAGGTTTAGGCTCCAGAAGAGCATCTGTCTGCCCTGTTTCTGTGCTAACAGAGCTGCCTGTGGTTGGAATGAGCCTGTCCTCCCTTCTGCATCCAACTCCATCTCTTTCCTCAAGAAACACCATCTCTTCCAAGAGGCATCCCTAATCTTCTTCCACTTGTCAGAAACGATCCAGTGCATTCCTTTACCTAATTTTGCTCTCTCCAACTACTTACCAATTATTAATCTCTGTGTTCCAGGTGCCTCACTTAATGCCCACAGATGCTGGCCTGTAGTAAATGTTTCTGAACTCAATTCCATGCTATTGATAGTGCACTAACCACACACAGGGATGATGTGATAGCCCCCCAACTACAACACTTCTTCTAGTCATACTTTTTTTGTATCCTCACCCAAGAAGGATATTTTTTTTAACTGAAAGGGAAAGGGAAGGGGGAGGAAGTGAAGGAGGAAAGGAGGGGGATGGGAAGAGAGAGGGCAACAGACAACAATAATAGGTTCGCTCCCAACTGGAGATCATATTGTAACTTAGATATGTGCCCTGACTTAAAATTGAACCCAAAACCTTCAATTCCAATATTGTTAGTGGTATCAATTCTTCCTATTCATGAGAATAGTATATAGTGCCATTTTTTTAGGTCTTTTAAAATATATTAATAAGGCTTTATCATTTTCTTATTAAGGCTTTGCACAAGATTTGTAAAATCCATTCTTGAGTATTTTATATTTTGTTGCTATTAAAATGTATTTTTAAACATACAAATTTTAAAAAGATATTCTTAAATAAATTAATGTTTTTAACAAATCACTAAATCTGCAAGTCACACTTTAATCCAGTGATATATAAAATAGATTTCTAAATCAAGCCAATCTTGAATTCTGGATTGTTCTTTCTTCTTTTTTAAGTGACTATTATATTTCATTTGAAATGAAAGTAAACCATTATTTTTTAAAAATCTTTATTGTTGAGGGTGTCCCCCTCTTTTCTTCCTCCACAGGGTTCCTGTCCCACCCCAGGCCTTCACCGCCCTATTGTTTGTGTCCTTAGGTAATGCATATGTGCATATAAATTCTCTAATCTTTCCAACCTCTTCCCCCTTCCCACTGAGACTCAACAGTCTGTTCCATGTTTCTATGTCTCTGATTCTATTTATTCACCTGTTTATTTTGTTCATTAGATTTCTTGTTCAATTGATTCTTAGATTTAATTGTCAATAGATATGTATTTAATGCCAATTTACTGTTCATATTTTTATCTCTTCCCCTCATATCCTCCTCCTCCTTCTTCCTCTAGTTAAAGAATACCCTTCTTATGGAAACAAATGGCTCTCCTAATGATTGAGCCATGCCAGAGAGTCCCACACTACCTTAAGAAAATGAAATTGGGAAGAAATGTGAGATCAAGGATCACTGCCATCAACTAAAGAAGAGCCATCTAACAATGACAAGCCTGAGAGTATTGATGAGATGCCTCTGAGGAAGGTGTTGCTGACGGAGTTCAGATTCCTGGCTTTGCCTCCAGAAATGCCCCCAGTGTCAAGGGTGATCATGGTCCACTAAAGAATTTCAAGAAATTCAGAAAAGTCGAATTTTCAGGAGCAGGAAAACTTCCACAGATCATTGAAGGATCAGATCTAATAGCCCATCATGTTCGGAAGAATACAGAATTAAATACAGGTTAAGGCAGGAAATGAAGGCGCAAAATCAACATGCAAAAGAAGAGTCCCTTGCTGGTGATCTCTTTAGATACAATCCTAACATAAAAAGAAGATAGATAACCGAGGTTGTTATGAAGAAGCCATGGAAAAACATTTCCTGCCCACATTACTTCCTGTTTCCTCTGGATTCAGGGGTTCAAGTTGCAAATGCTCTCTAGCCTGAATTTGTTAAATAAAATGCATAAAACTAAAAAAAAAGGATATATATAAACTAAAAAAAAAGGATATATAAAAAAAGGATACACACACACACACACACACACACACACACACACACCCTTCTCTTCCCCTTCTTAAAAAATACTCTTCAACATTTCATGTAATACTGGTTTGGGGGGGTGGGGGAAGGTGAACTCCTTTAGCTTTTTCTTGTCTGTGAAGCTCTTTATCTGACCTTCAATTCTACGGTAAATAATAGCTTTGCTGGGTAGAGTAACCTTGGTTATAGGTCCTTGCTATTCATCACTTTGAATGTTTCTCACTATTCCTTTCTGGCCTGCAAAGTTTCTGTTAAAAAATCAGCTGTCAGTCATATGGGTGCTCCCTTGTAGGTAACTAACTGCTTTTCTCTTGCTGCTTTTAAGATTCTCTCTTTGTCTTTAACCCTTGGCATTTTAATTATGGTGTGTCTTGATGTGGGCCTCTCTGGGTTCCTCTTGTTTGGGACTCTTATGCTTCCTGGACTTGTAAGTCTATTTCTGCCCAGCTGAGACCCAGCTGTGAAG